GCCGGCGGGGGCGCGGGCCCCCCCTGCCAATCAGCGTCCGGGGGAGGGGAGGCAGCCAGGGACTAGCGCCGCGAGTGCCACCTGGAGGGACCCGGGCCCCCACCCTTGGCTCCTCCCGGCCACGGTCCCGCCTCTCGCATCTCTTCCACCTCTGCTTTCCAGCCAAAGTTAAGCCGCTTATACTTCGTACCTTCCCGCGCGCGTCTTTCTCTTCCCTTCTCTGCTTCCGCTTGGGCCGCCAGTGTAGCCCTGACCGGGGTATCCTCACCTCCGAGTGTTGCTTCTGCCCCTGGTGGTTCAGAGACTTCCGAGAACCTGGTTCCTGTACTGGCACCTTAAGGATTGGCCTGGGTAAGGGCAGTGAGCAGCACAGGGTCCTGGCCAGGCCACAAGAGAGGCAAGGCCCAGGTTTTTTTGCTTTTTAGTTTTTAGAGGTTTTTGCTATAGGGCGCGTGTGCTCACCAGAAAGACCGAGAGACAGAGAGACAGAAAGCGAGAAATCACCCCCCACGGGGAATGGCCACATCGCAATCCTTTCTCCTCCACTCTCCTCTTGGAATCTTGGGCATGCACACACACGCACCCAGCATGAGTTCAAGCCAGCGGGTCCCAGACTCGAATCTCGGTCAACTACATGGGCACCAGCGACATAGCCATTACACCAACTGCTGGTCCCAACAAGGCCCGGGTTTTGACCATGGGCTGGGCACAGTTTAGGGAGGCAGTTCCCTCTACCAGAAGATGGCCCGCAGCTGGCCTGAGTGTGCACTACTGAAGGAAGCCAGAGGAAAATTGTGGGATGCACCCAGGGAAACCATAGTCCTACATACACCTCCATGCAGGGATAGATGACAGGGTACAGGGCCATGGGGACATACAGCATCCCCTCCTTGATTCCACAGCAGTAATATTCACCTACCACAGCCAGAGTCCCCACCTTGCAGGGACTGAGGCCAGGACTTTGGTAGTCTCCGTCCCCCACTGCAGTCCCCACTTCTGCTGTGTCCATTATGGTCTGACTGCGCCAGCTCACCAGAGGCCCAACTAGATGCTGGCTCACTCAGGTGTGAATATGTCTGTTCTAAGTGCTACCTGAGGAGCTCCGCCTGCCACCTCCCAGCCACAGCTGCAGAGGTCTTGGCACCTATGCCACCCCTGGCCCCCTCCAGCACCTATGCCACCCCTGGCCCCCTCTAGCACCTGTGACCAGAGACATCCCAGCCATCTCAGCCTCCTCCACCTCCCACCCTATCCCTGCCTTTGGGCCCGCCTCTGAATCCTCCGGGGCTCATTCACACCACTGGAGGTGGCCAGGGAGGCAACCAGAAGGGGCACTCGGGGGTCATGGAGTGGCAGCGGAAGGACCAGATCTTGTCCCTGGACTGGTTAATGAGGCTCTTTGCTCCTCTCTGGACCTACAGCCTGCCCGAGGAGCATCCACTCAGACCCAAATGCAAGTTGGTAGCCTCTGGACCCTGGGCCCACAGAGTGCCAGGCAGATCAGGGGCCAGGAAAGCAGTCTTGGCCAGAGTGTGCCTTGCTTGCTGTGTGGCCTTAGGTAAGTCTTTTTTCTGTTTCTGGCCCCTCACTCTATGTTTGCATAACAGATGGAAAGTGGGCTTCCCTCCCTCAGTCCACCTACCTGGGCACCTCTCTGGAGAGGTGGGACCTAGGTGTGCCAACTGCCTTGGGCAGAAAACCCTCTGTTATCTTCCTCCAGCTCCAGATGGGGTAAGGACCTTCTCTTCCTTCACAAGCTCAGTTTGGGGCTCCCCTAGGACCCTTTCCTATCTTTCCCATTTGCTGGTGAGTTCAGCAAATGACCTGCAGGTAGTTGATTCTTCTCCCAGAACCACGAAGGCCCACCACACGGTAGGTGCTATTGGTGATGGAAAAACTGACAGCCAGCAGGATGTTAGGAGCTGGGATTCCCAGTAATTGATCTGACATCTGGCTCTCCCTTTGCCACCATGGGTTCCTGAACCCATCCCAGCCTCTGCAGACCCCAGCGTCCTCAACTGTCCATCAGGGCTAGCAAAAGCACAGGTGAGGATTAATGAGCAGTTACAGGTGAAGGGTGCACCATGAAGCGCTGCCTGCTATTTCCATCTGACTCTCTCTCTGTGCCCGCACCTTTTGACCTTGGTCTCCTGCCTTGCTCCCCCTTGCCACTGTGCTCCAACCAGGGGCCTTTCCAATCTCTCTAACCCTCCACTGGGAGACTCTTTCTGTGAATGATTTCCCCAATTCAGGTCTGCCCTTGAATAGCAGCCACTTGGGGATATCTTTGTGCCTGCTCCTCATGTCTCTGGGACTGTAACTTCTTCATAGCCCTTAAAGGAGGGCTTAGGGGCTAGAAGGTGGTGTGGTGGTTAAGGGCACTGGACTTCCACATGGCCGACCGCGGTTTGAGTCCTGGACCTGGTGGCTTGCTTTCTCATTTTCTCTCCCTCTCTCTCTCACTCTATCCCTCTCTAGTCAAATTAAAAAATAAATAAAGTTAAATAAAATAATTCTTTGGGGGGGGCTGGCAGGTGGCATGGTTGTTAAGAGTGCTGGACTCCTACATGGCGGAGCACGGTTCAAGTCCCAGACCTGGGGGCTTGCTTTTTCACTTTCCCTCTCTCTCTCTCTCTCCCTCTCTCCCTCTCTGGTTAAATTAAAATAAATAAAGTTAAATAAAAAATAAATAATAAAAAGAGAAAGGCTTAGGTCTTCATTTGTGAGCTGACCCTCTGCCCCATTTAGACTTGTCGCCTCATGGAATGAGCACAGAATCGTGTCATCCCGGCTGTATCTCCAGTGCTTGGCACACAGTAGGCGCTTATGAGTAAGTGGCTGGCTAGCTAATTGCTGTTTGGAGCTGCTCCGCCAGCAGATCCCTCACTGGGATCTCACCTCCACCATACCTAAGGCAGCCCAAGGACACCCACAAAGCCTTGGGCCAGTGGGCACCCCACACTGGCTTTCCTTCCTCATCGCTGAATGGAATAGCTGGGCCAAGGTGATCTGTCCCCGTAAGAACTTGAGACAAGGTTCTCTGGAGAAGGATCAGTGCTCTAGAATTAGGACCCTCATTAGCTCAGCCTTTCCGCCTTCCCATAGCCTGGGGATCTCTGTTTAGCAAGGCTCTGGGGTGCGAAGAGACCTTGAGGCCGTGATGGGGCTCTGGGTCTGTCCTTGTGAGTTGTATAACCATAGGCTCCCTCACTTCTGAGAATTCTCTGCGTCCCCGTCTATAAAATGTCCACCAGCCTTAACAAGACCAGGCCTGGCCTGTAAGAAGAAGCTGAACAAAATCAGCTCTTCAAACTGCAAGACCCTTGGGGTGGCCAACAGTAAATACCCAGAATTCTAAACTCAACAGCCATGTTTTGATCCTCTAGGAGGCGCCACTGTGTGTCAGCAGCCCACGAAAGGAAGGATGACCCATGAGCAAGACAGGACAAAGGCTCAGACCTGAAACCTGTTGATGATAGTCCGGGAAACCCTTCTAAAATAGTGACCTTTTTTTGACCTACAATAAAAGGACCAGTCTCATCCCAATGTTGTATCTGCACCTGAATGGTTTCTCCCCCTGGAAGGAGTGTAGAGGCTTAGACTAACCATCTCAGCCGTTAAGAACTTATTCCTCTTAATAGTAATCATAGTTTAAAAAGTGCTGAATAAAAATTGAAGTCTCCTCAGGGCAAAAGGATAGACCGAAGCCCCAGGCTCAGCCCAGGGTGGTAAACTTTGTAAAGAGCTCAACCATTTTCTCTACTCAACTTCTTTTTATGGCCTCAGTAAGAAGACCCTCACAATAACATCTTCCTGCAAAAATCAGGAAGGATCAGGTAAGGGTATAGACTAGCCTACACTGAGCCAAAGTGCCCCAAGAGACAACACACTTTTTCCTTTAGCACCCAAAAAGGAAGATCGAGTCCAATTTTTTTAAGCTTTTTTAAAAAATGGTGATATGATATACATGACATTAAAAATCTTGTCAATGTAAACCATTTAAAAAAGATTTTCTTTAAGATCAGTTTGAACTTTACAATGAATTTGAGGAACTATCTTACTGTTTTCTATGTTTTGATTTTTTTTTTTCCCTTAAATCATCCTGGTTTGGCAGCATCAGAGATGGGACAGCAGGCCACTTCCTGGCTCATAGGAGTGTCTTGGGTGGACAAGCATTGACCCAGAGGTGGCTCTGTCTACAGTAGATTCTCTTAGGAGTATGGCTTATTTCTCTTTGACCCTGAAGCTGACTAGCCAGGTCTAGGTGACAGGTTTAGGGACAGTCAATAAGACGATATGCCATCCAGACGCACAGGCAGGCAATTCTTGCCACACATTAGATACTCCACCCTGGGAAAATAAGACAGAACCCTGACCTCAGTTTCCTCATGTGTCAAATTAGGAAATCAGAGTTCTTGGAGGGCTTCCAGGAGAATGAAATGAGATAATATATGCTCAGCCCTTAAAACAAATATGTACTGGGTCAGCAGGTGGCATGGTGGTTAAGGTTCTGGTTGACAGTGGTTCAAGTCCTGGATCTGGCAACTTATTTTCTTACGGTCTTTCTCTCACTCTCTATTGCTGGTCAAATTTAAAATAATAATAATAATAATAATAAACAAAATTAAATAAGCAATTCTAAAAAAAAAAAAAGATAGGCATGCACCTGCCACCTTAGCCATGAACACCCATTATCCTTCCAGAGAAGTAGTCGCCCTGCTGGAGCATGGGAC